CAAATACACATAGTTATGTGTCAAAATGCCCGTCTTTGTGAGTATCCTCATAAACTTATTCATTTGGGTCTTAAATGATCGTTAATAACTAAAGACAAGGCATGTGTAGTAGTAGGCTATTTGAGACCCTGGTATTATGTGAGGTCTTAAAGGAATAGTTCACCCAAAAAAACATTCACTCACCCTCAAGTTGCTATAAACCTGCATGAATTTCTTTGTTCTTCTCAACACAAAAGAAGATATTTTGAAGAATGTTCGTAACCAAAAAGTTTCTGGTCTCCATTGACTCCCGCAGTATTTTTTCATACTATGGAAGTAGAGCTGGGCAGTATGCCGGTATATATCGTTACTGCAGAATAAAGTGTCTATCGTTAGAGATTTTGCTATATAGTGTATATCTGCGTAACACAGTACATTGCTTAGGCACTTATACCGGTATGCCGTTTGTTTTTTTAATTCATACCGGTTGCATAATTAGAACAGGTTTACCATTTGAACCGGTATATCGCCCAGCACTACATAATAAATTATTATTCAAGTTAGTTGCACTTGACTGACGTATATTGCTTTTTGTGTCTGAAGAAACTATATATTCGCTTAAGGGGTGGGCGATAACCCGCTTGAAATATGTCAATCTTGTTGTGCGGTCATTTAAACTCTTTTGTAAGCACTCCGGTTTAAAACCAATTTTTTATCATTTTTTGCATTTTGAATCATTCATGCACATTAAGCAGTGGGGGAGAATTCATTTTGGTAAATGTGTGTGTGTTATCAGGGTTTCCAAGCCTGATACGAGCGGTGCACACCTCAGGCTTAAAGCAGCTGCGTGTACAGCCTGACTAAAAGTTGAGCTCTTTCTCACACCTTGTGCTTGAACATCCAAATACACATAGTTATGTGTCAAAATGCCCGTCTTTGTGAGTATCCTCATAAACTTATTCATTTGGGTCTTAAATGATCGTTAATAACTAAAGACAAGGCATGTGTAGTAGTAGGCTATTTGAGACCCTGGTATTATGTGAGGTCTTAAAGGAATAGTTCACCCAAAAAAACATTCACTCACCCTCAAGTTGCTATAAACCTGCATGAATTTCTTTGTTCTTCTCAACACAAAAGAAGATATTTTGAAGAATGTTCGTAACCAAAAAGTTTCTGGTCTCCATTGACTCCCACAGTATTTTTTCATACTATGGAAGTAGAGCTTGGCAGTATGCCGGTATATATCGTTACTGCAGAATAAAGTGTCTATCATTAGAGATTTTGCTATATAGTGTATTCCGCGGTATGCAAATATATCTGCGTAACACAGTACATTGCTTAGGCACTTATACCGGTATGCCGTTTGTTTTTTTAATTCATACCGGTTGCATAATTAGAACAGGTTTACCATTTGAACCGGTATATCGCCCAGCACTACTGTCAGTTATTGTCAAGTTGCACCTGAAACTTCAAAAAAGTTGTCCAATTAACTATGTATTACAGTCAGCATTAGAAAGTGCTGCAGTAGCTTAGTAATTTCCAATTCAAGACTTGGATGTCAATGATTGTAAGATTCAGCCACTTGTTCTTATGATATTGCCATTGCAGCATTTTAATAAAAACAATAGGATTTAATAAAATGTAGTGGGTGTGCATTACAGTCGTTTTACTACAGTTACAGAGGGTTACAGAAATCTGAATAAAGAATCTGTACAAATAGACAGCATCACGCCTGTACTTACACATCTACTTCACAGAGGTAGCAGTGACAGTTCTCAATTTTAAATCATTCATGCACATTAAGCAGTGGGGGAGAATTCATTTTGGTAAATGTGTGTGTGTTATCAGGGTTTCCAAGCCTGATACGAGCGGTGCACACCTCAGGCTTAAAGCAGCTGCGTGTACAGCCTGACTAAAAGTTGAGCTCTTTCTCACACCTTGTGCTTGAACATCCAAATACACATAGTTATGTGTCAAAATGCCCGTCTTTGTGAGTATCCTCATAAACTTATTCATTTGGGTCTTAAATGATCGTTAATAACTAAAGACAAGGCATGTGTAGTAGTAGGCTATTTGAGACCCTGGTATTATGTGAGGTCTTAAAGGAATAGTTCACCCAAAAAAACATTCACTCACCCTCAAGTTGCTATAAACCTGCATGAATTTCTTTGTTCTTCTCAACACAAAAGAAGATATTTTGAAGAATGTTCGTAACCAAAAAGTTTCTGGTCTCCATTGACTCCCACAGTATTTTTTCATACTATGGAAGTAGAGCTTGGCAGTATGCCGGTATATATCGTTACTGCAGAATAAAGTGTCTATCATTAGAGATTTTGCTATATAGTGTATTCCGCGGTATGCAAATATATCTGCGTAACACAGTACATTGCTTAGGCACTTATACCGGTATGCCGTTTGTTTTTTTAATTCATACCGGTTGCATAATTAGAACAGGTTTACCATTTGAACCGGTATATCGCCCAGCACTACTGTCAGTTATTGTCAAGTTGCACCTGAAACTTCAAAAAAGTTGTCCAATTAACTATGTATTACAGTCAGCATTAGAAAGTGCTGCAGTAGCTTAGTAATTTCCAATTCAAGACTTGGATGTCAATGATTGTAAGATTCAGCCACTTGTTCTTATGATATTGCCATTGCAGCATTTTAATAAAAACAATAGGATTTAATAAAATGTAGTGGGTGTGCATTACAGTCGTTTTACTACAGTTACAGAGGGTTACAGAAATCTGAATAAAGAATCTGTACAAATAGACAGCATCACGCCTGTACTTACACATCTACTTCACAGAGGTAGCAGTGACAGTTCTCAATGACGTGTGCATGTTTGGTGCGGTCAAACACCGGCATGGGTCCCTTATAACTCTTAGCTCTGACATTATAATCTGCAGGGTCGATGGAGACGGCCATCAGGTGCATGAAGAGGTGACAGACAAATGTAATGCCTGTAAACTGAGCTCTGAGTTAAAGACTGATAATTACTCAAAAAAGTGAGTCTCTCAACAATTTAAAGCAGACATGCTGTATATAGTTCACACAGAGCTGCACAAAGATCCAACTTCCAATGGCTGCTACAGGGTAACATATGCATATTAATAAGAGCTGATGTGCGCAGGAATAGCTTCATGCAGGCCATATGACAAACTGCAAAACAAGGATACAATATATCCGGCTGGGATCCAGTGTGTGGGGATCAGAGGCACAAATACACCAAAGCCAGTGACAGCAAAGTAGAGATAAAGCATCCAGGCCAGGAGCTGGAAAGGGTGCGGGGGCCAGCTCCAACCATTGGTCCGAGAGCACAGGGGCACATCAGCTCTCCTGGGTACCCCCTCGCTCACTGGGGCTGTGCGATTGGAGTTCTTACTGCAGACATCCATGAGAGGGGAGCCTCCTTCTGTCACTCCTGCCATTAAAACAGTGCAGAATGTTTATTTTTAAAATATTACAGGTTTGATAAGACTCTGCAGACTTACTGCTTTAAAGGGATAGTTCACCCAAAAGTAATTCTGTCATCTTTTAATCACCCTCAAGTTGTCCAAACATGTATGGCTTTGTTTCTTCTGTGGTAGATAGTAAAAGATATTTTGAGAAATGTTGCATTTTTTTTTGGGGGGGGGTTTGGTTTGGTTACCGACATCCTTAAAAATATAGAAGGAAAGAAGAAAGTCATACAGCTTTGACAGAATTATCTATACATTTTAAAATAATTTCACAATGTTTAAAACGGAGTTCCGAATTATTGTATTTTTAATTATTTCACACAAAATTTATTGAAAATGCTTTGTTTTTTTATAACAATTAGATTTATTTCTAATTTTTTTTTTTTAAACGGGACATCGGATGAAAATGTAACTTTTTTTCAGCCCTTTTTTTTTTTTTCTTTGTATTTAGTTAGGTTTCTGGCGTGGCTGCCAACTCAGAAAAGCTGAAACGAAAACACACAACCAATTTGTTACGAGGTGTCTAAAGTCTGAAACGGTGTCATCCAGTGAGCTGTTTCAATTTGCAAGCCAGTTTCTAGTAGACAGCTATCCGAGCTATTTGAATAAGACCACCTCCGAGCCATAAACAGAGTCTATTCATTTGTCTTGTGTCCACATGTGCCACAGAAGAGATCAGCATTGAAAGAGACATGCACCGAAACGGGTCGCTGTGAACAGAACCGTTTTTGACAAGGTAAAAAGGGTGTTGTTTTACAAGACCACTGAGGAATTTTAACCAAAGTATGTTACAGACATTTCATGAAGACCCTAAAGAATCACACCAACTTGTGGAAAATAGGCATCCGATGTCCCCTTTAATGATTATTTATATTGTTATGGCTACCCTACTTGTAATTTTTAGAGACATACAAACAAAGTTTTTGTAGAACAATGTTTCAAAGCTTTTCAAAAATACATTAAACCGCATAAATACAAACATTATAAATTTAGAAATTTGGGACATGTGTTTTATACTCTCTCAATTTTTTTCAATTCATTTAAGCTTCATTAGCATGACAGTGTAACAGTGTTGCCAAAGCATTAACATAGATAAATAATAAAAAGAAACAATAAAAAAACAACATATATAACAAATAATTAAAATCCCCTAAATAAACGTAAATGTAATGTAAACATAAAACCATGTTTAACACCTTACATTGTGAATGGCTAACACACTTTTTGCAGCTAGTGCAGCTGTGTTGTCATCTTCTCTCTCTCTCTCTCAGATATCTTTATTGGTCACTGGTCCACTATAACCAGCTCATGGTAAACCATAAAACTCACCTGCTCAGTTACTGATGTCAGGAATCCGGGCTGATCCGCCACATCTGAGCCGACATTACCTGCACTGCCTTTTCTTTACACGAAAACTACCACTAACCTGACACATCTTTGAGCCTCATCCACAGCACCAACACAACAGCTCTGAGTGACGGCTAACGTTAGCTCTTTACTCATTCTTTACTAAATTTACTGTATCTGTAGCCTGAGAGCGGAGAGGGCGTCTCAGTAACATAAATCTCTCATCACGCTCTCATCCCGTGGGTAAACCAATCTCTAGATGTAGTAATTAACTTGCAATAGAGCACCGAACAAATAAGAGCCTTGAAACTGACCGAATGTTAACCGCTTGTTGTGTGCGGAGAGCACGACTGACTGTACCGTTAACTAATCATTCTGCAAACAAATCACATCGTACAGTAACCGCGCACATCTCGATCAATATCCAAAGCGTTTTATTGGTCTAATCAATCGAAGCTGCTTAAATGACTTCACAAATATCAACAAATAAATGTTTTATAATACAGCAGCGGCACTCAATCCAATATTTTCGGCTCGTAGTGACAATTTATGTATTAAATAGCTGACTGACGCACTCACATCCGGGAAAACCGTTACACGACACGTTTTATTTCAAATTAAAAGTCCTCTGCACTAAATAACAAAGCAAAAACGTTTACTTGTAAAGTACTGTTAATTACTAATGTAAGCTTTTTAAATTAATAACATCAAATCTGAAGTAATCACATTTTTATTTGTTATAATTATCATTAGCAGTAGTAGTAGGAGTAGGCTCATGTTTTGTTAAATGCAGTTGCTTTGTGCTGTTGCAGTGTTTCTGTTTTACAAGATCACAAGCTATCAATGTTGCACTGTAGGCAGTTTTCCAGGAGATGGCAGCAATGCCGTGCTTTAAAACAATGTTTATGAAAACGTTAATTGCTGCATATTAAATAGCCAAATATAATAGTTCACTTTTGTTACCTCAAAAGAACGTAAGTCATGCAGTTTTGGAACAACATGAGATTTAAGAGTTTAAGAGAGTTAATGATGACAGAATTTAATTTTTTTGGTGAATTAAAATATTATTATAATTTTTTTCTGGAGAAGCTTACCCATTGTAATTATTAGTTATTTTAACTCTGTAATTATGTCAATGCAATGTGTGTGCTATGGACATTGTAGTATAAAGTGATACTCACATGGTCCAAACATCCATATCGAACTTTCCATTCAAAGTTGTTGTATAAAAAAAGAATACATAATATGTTCTATAATGCCAAATGTCTAAAGATATTCCACATAAAATGTCTATTGAATAAGGAGGCTAGAGGTCTAGAACAAGGAGCAGAAGCTTGCTTGTATCAGGTCATGTATTTAAAAGGTATTTTTAAGACTTCATTCTCATTTTATCTGTTATGTGAACATCTTACTCTAAGCATTTGGCTTGGGGCCTAACTCAGTTGTTTTGGTTGTTATATAAGCATTATTTAAAAAAAACACACACACACATTCCTATGGGGCATATGAGCAAATCCTTCCAAAGGAGGAGGAAATCTTTTGTCCTAAATGAGATCCTGAAATCACTATGGTTACTAAACAGATATGATTCTTCAGTTAGATTATCTCTGTAATATGGCCACAGATCAGATAATTTAACAATAATATCATTTAACATAATAATAACATGATAATTTCTATGCATGGTTTGTGCTGATAAAATGTGTTGTTTGAATGTGTGAACTGAAGCAAGGCGGTGTTTTTGTGTCTTAGCCACCACAAAGCACAGCATGTTTTAACTGCTGCATGCCAATTGGCTTTTCAGTATAGAACTTGACCATTTTAATTACTAGATGGCTTGATTTAAATTTATTTAATAGCTGATTTACAGTACATAGATAGGCAGACAGACAACAGACTTAGAATGTAATTTTCAAGTAAATTCTGGTTAATGGCATATGTTTTCATTCAGCATTATTTGTCAGCACTCCAGAGTGTGCTTGAAGTGACAAGGCCTGATGAAGACTGCTCATATTCTCATGTGGCACAAAATGTTTATCCAATGGCTAAGTGGAAACAATCCATTACAAACTCATCATTCATAACTGGCCTGATGCAGACCCCCAGCCTTCAAAATTCTTACTTCTCATTTGAGTGAAATACCATACGGTATGCAATGACTGACCAATAAACCCCCCAGTTAACGGCATCTGAGTGGGCCCCTTAAGGGTTGTAACTCAGGAAAGAACTCAAGTGTCTGTTCTCTGCTTTGGGAGGGAGGGTGCGCGAGGAATGTGACACCGAATTGCCTATGCCAATGAAGTCCAGCTTGTCCTGTGGTGGGATGGCTCCTGTCCGGGAATGAGCACATCTGGAGTTCTGGAACATTTTGGCAAAGCAATTCAATTCCTCAAGGAACATGTTTTGGATGAGTTTGTATCCAATACAAACACGGGTTTTCTGCATTATTTAGTGATGCACCTGTTCCAACCCCCTTGGTCCCCCAGAGGGAGTCAAATGAGGTGAGACTGGAGGGGTGACTCCGTTCTGAGCACGTCTACAGAACAAGCATGATATTCTACGAATGTGGTAAGTGAAATTTGAATGCTGCAACAAGCACGCTCCATAATAATTTGAACTTCCCCAGCAGGATCTGCTGAACAATGAGCACTATTTCTATCCCAGTTTGCCGTTCTAGCGGACGTGCACGTCACAAGGTTTAGCTAACAGTTTTTGGCATGTGGCCCAAGCAGTAAAAGCTAAACTGCTTTTGAAGAGAAAATTTGGGCTCTCTTTCTCTTGGCAGTGGTGTAAGTGGTAGAGAATGTTAAACAGGGCCAGTGAGTTTATATGGGTTGGGAATGACCCTCTCACACACTTTCCCACATATAAAACTTGAATATCTGAGCTTTGACTTCCGTCAGTAGTTCTTCAGAAATTGGATCCCTTAAAGTGGTCATGAACTGAGAAATCAAAATTCCCTTGATCTTGTGACATATAAGAGGTCATCGTACTATAAAAACATCCTGTAAGTTTCAGACCTCAAAACTTTCTCATTAGTCTAAAAACAGCTTATATTGAAGCCAATCTGCCAAAACGATAGCTTGTGGAATGTGCCGCTCTATGACGTAATAGAGCAGGTAAACCCCGCCTCCGCAGAAGATGATCAACGTCTGCTTCTACATCACTGCTTGTTAAGCTCCGCCCACTGATTCACGCACGTAGTGTAACGAGAGAGGCAAACGCAGGTCTAACCAAACGATAAAATGCCACGAAGATAACAAGATGCTGTGCAGTGCCAAATTGTGGACAAACACAGTCTTTGCATAACCTTCCATCGGATCCCAACATTAGGAAAGAGTGGATTAGCTTTATTTTTAATGACGTTCCAGGCTGCGTCAGTAAAAGTTTGGTCGTTTGTTCACTTATTTCACCGCGGATTCGTTTACAAACAAGGCACAGTTCGACGCCGGATTTTCTGAAAGACTGAAATTAAAAGACGATGCTGTGCCGACTATATTGAATCTGACAGTAATGTCGCACCACACAAGTGTGAGTAACTGTTTATTACGTGATCACTATAGCTTTCTCTGTGATTACAGATCGTTTGATATGTTCTGAATTTTTATGCGTTTTTGACCTAAATCACAGCAGCGTCCATCCATGAAGGCTGTAGCTGTCAAACATACACAACTGTTAGCCAATCATAGCAGTGGGTGTTTACTTCGAGTCTACAATCCGCCACGCCTACTCAAACAGAGATGAGGGGGTCAAAACAGGACAGAAAATAGCCCATTACTGCTAAAATATTATGTTTTTTGATGTAAACATCTTGATAACATTACAAGTGGACCTCAGAGAACAGTACAGAATAATAAAAAAGGCAGTTTGTGAGCCCTTTAAACTCCTGTAGTAAAACTAACAAGTCTTAAGGTCCATTCACAATAAGAACGATAACTATAAAGATAACGATTTGAATGTCTGGTGTCACTGACTTTCCAATCAAGGTAACGCAGTTAAGAATGTGTTCATTATACCCTGGCACATACATTTCTTGGCTTAGGCTGAGATTTGACCTGACAAGAACTGTATGACTGAAGAAAGCACTGCTGCCTTCGAGAGGCCCAGGCCAAGGATGAGCGAATACTGGAGGGAGAATCTGGCAGTAACATAAACACACACACACATATCATGCTCTGGCCTTGGCACACTGCAACCCTTGCCTGATAAAATTAGAATCAGGAAGCAGAACAAAACTTGAAGTGCTTTGCATGAGTACATATTAAGTTTCTCAGAAACTGAATCTGTCGGACACGTTTATAGTCTTGTTAATCAAAAGAAAAGGGGACTCCTGAACTCTGACTGACTGTATTTGGCCTGTGACTGTACACCATGCAAATTTAATGAGCTCAATGACAAAGTGGCTTGAGGACCGACTCTTTAAACATTTAGTCTGCCTCACTGCTCAAGAAACATGTTCCTTTCCACTTTGCATGATGGTTTTTGTAATTGCATCTTTTTCCCTTTGCATTGCTGCTTTAGGGAGTGTAAA